TCGAGAGACATACAAAATTATCAACTTAATTTATGTTGCTATGAAAAAAAAGCTCCTAGATTTATTGAATTTCAAGTCCTTCCTGTGGTTGCTTTGGCAGGGCCAGATCAAATGATTTTGCATGATTTTGTAGGCCTTACACAGCCGGATGTTCCCCACCCCTGCCCTAGGGTAACATTTGTAAATGAATTCCAAGGATGTTCCATGCAGTATTATTTGAAGTAGAAAAACACTGGACTTTAGCTAGAGGACTATCAATAGCGATTTGGCAAAATAAAAGATGGTTTATCCATTAAATGGACTATCATGCTAGTTAAAGGAATGCCACTATGAAAGGAATAAAATAGAATTTTATGAATGGACATGAAGACACCCTAAACAATTTGATTAAAAATAGCAAGTTGCATCCTAGCCTGTTTGGCTCAATGGATAGAGTGTCAGCCTGTGGACTGAAGGGTCCTGGTTTGATTCCCATCAAGGGCACATACCTCGTTTGCAAGCTGGATCCCCAGCCCTGGTTAGGGTGCATGGGGGAGGCAACCAATCAATGAGTCTCTCTCACATGATGTTTCTCTCTCTGTCTCGCCCTCTCCCTTCCACTTTCTCTAAAAATCAATGGAAAAACATCCTCCGGTGAGGATTAACAACAACAAAATAGCAAGTTGCACAACAGTACCTATAGTGTGATAGCACATTTAAGTAAAACAGTATTTTATATATATCCATACACATTTTAAAACAGGTATATAACTTAGAGATCTAGAAGGAAATATAACTTAGAGATTTAGAAAGAAACAGAACTGATAATAATTGTTAATTTTGGCAAGAGTAAGAGAATTGGGGTGGTGAGAAAAGGAAATCTCAATCTACTCTGCATATTTAAAATTTTTGTATTAAAAGGAGAATGTAATCACATATAAATTCTGTGACTAAAAATTTATATTTAAATATACATATTTAATCCAGTGGATTTCACATATAGCTAGCCTTTTAATTATCACGGTGTACCATGTATTTTGTAGGCATAGCATTCAGACTGGTTTCCCTCCCTCCTTATAGTCTTGCCCATCCTCAAAGGCCAGGTCAAGTTTCTTTTTCTCCTAGAGTCTTTCTCCATTTCCGGCTATGCTGACTCTTGCCCTCTCTGAGCTCCTACTGGCCTAACAGTCCACCTCCCTCACTTTATCCCTTAATCATTCTCAAATGGCGTCCTGTAAAGGGGTTTTGTGCCTACGCATCTATTGCATGTTTTCTACCAGGTAGTGCCCTCCTCTGCAACCTAGCTTTCAGAAAATAAAAAAATAAAAGGAATATATAGTGATTCCATAGGAAAATGAAACTGTTGAGACCGAAAAACCTTCCTTCATCCCTTCATGCTAGTGATGGGCCATTCAGAAATGAAGACTCCAAATACTAACATTTTTATGTATGGGTTTAAAGCCAAAAATGAGTATGAACATCTCCAATAGTTTGTTGGAATAAACCTTTAAATGCACCTGTATGTGTCACTTACATTGATATCAAATCTCTTCTGGATCTTGGGACTACTTTATGTGTCACAGATTTTTTTGAATCTGAGACAAAGGAGGGTAATATAAAAGCTGCTAGTAGACTGAATATGGTTATAATTTGCTGGTTAAAATGATAGTTTCTGGAAATGCCCTTATCAGTAGACTCAATATCTTTCTGGATTGTTAGGATGAATCAGAAGTTATAATTTCAGAATTCAGTTCTAGTAACTACCGCTTTTGGAAAATCAGGAGAGAAACCAACAGTATTAATTGTTTTTACAATTCCAAAAAGAGGTATCCACTGCTTTTAGAAGTGTACCAGAAGTACTAATAGAACTATAATTATTAATAAATCAAACACGTAATTAGTGCCAAGCATTGTCCTGATACTTTATATGTAATCCCCTTAACAATCCTATGAAGTAGGAACTATTATTACCTTTTTTTACTTTTGAGGAAATTTAGGGATAAAGAGAATCAGTATCTTGCCTAAGATCATACAGTTAAGTAGCAGAGCCAGGTTTTAAATTCAGGAAGTCAGTATTTGTTCTTAACCACTAAATTATGCTGCATACTGGATGTCACAAAGAAAAACAATACATAAATGTATGGAACTATTGGGGATCAACTGTAGAATCTTTTATTATTAAGGAATATAAGATTACACAGCCCTCTTGTTTTTTAGGTACTTTATGTACTGATGCACTGGAAGCACCAATGGACTCAGCTCCATCTGTCCCTTCTTAGAATGGAGTGCTTTCCCAGAGAGATACTTACTAATATTTAAAGTATTCCTGGACAGTAAAGAAGGTTATGTGGAATTATCTTGTTTGAGAACAGAGGCCAGGAGAAGGGAGGCACTTACCCAAGATTCTGTAATCAGGATCAGGCCTTCTGATCCTTACTATGCAGCAAACTTAGCTTTTCTGATAATGGCCTAGAAGGTCAAACAAGGGGACAGGAAAGGACATAAAAAAAGACATGAGATGATGGTTTTCTCCTCCTCCATCAAGCATTGCATTTTATCACACACAAAGGACAGCAAAGCTGATAAATAATGTACAAGTGTTTCTTTTTCCTTCCTTGTGGTTACATTTTCAAATTTACTTTAGTGTACATTTATCCTGATTTTTGAGAAAGTAATTTGTTTCTGCTTTTTTTTTTTTTACTTCTTATTAAGGAAAATTTCAAATGGTTAAAAATGTACAGGGAATATTATAAACCCTTTCAAATCTGTCATCCAGCTTCAACAATTACCAACTGAAGGCCATCTTGTTTCATCCCTAACCCCACCCACTGCTCCCCCTAACTCCGATTTTTTTTAAAGCTCACAAAATAGCTTACCTTCTGTATTTTATTATGGAAAATTTCATACATATACCAAGGAAGACAATAGTATAAGGAACCCTATATGTCCATCACTCAGCTTAAATGATTATTAATTTAGGGCCAATTTTATTTTATCTATACCCCTCCCCACTTCTGGGATTATTTTGAAACAAATCTTAGTCATCAATGTATTTCGATGCCCATCCCTGACATTTTAAAAATTTAATCCGTATTTTCATTTATATCTCTGTAAGATAAAAGACAATTTGAAAACATAACCACCATACCATTATAACCTCTAAAAAAATCGACATCAATTCCTTAAAAGCACATCAAATATCAAATCCATCTTCAGATTTTCCCGATGTATTTCAAACAGCTTTTTATTTTAATGTCGGTGTGTTTGAATCAGGATCCAAACAAGGCCTACTCATCGCATGTGGTTCATCTCCAGCTCGCTCTCCTTCTCCATCTCTTTTTCCCCCCTCCCCCATTTTTTTTTAAACTTTTCAATATGGAAAATTCCAACCCCCGCTATTCTGAGCTAATTTCCAAATAGTACATTATTTCATCAGTAAAGACTGATATATCTCTCTTATAGCTCTAATTTCTTCTAGGAAAGAAATCAATGGGCAAGAAAAGCACTATAATGAACGAATTTACATAATTTATGTTTTTTTCCTCATTCTGTTACGCGGATATTTCTCTCCACAATAATACCTACTATCTTTTGGAGCTAGGCTTCCTATTAAATGCCTTATACTCTCTAACATACAGTACACGCTTCTGAGGTACACGTCTCTGAGGTAAAGACTTATTATCACCATTTCACAAACATGGAAACCGAGACACAGAAAGAACAGGAGCCAGCCCGAGCTGGGCGTTGGCGTCGGAACCTGAATTCAGCCTTGCCCTATCGTGAAACCATTAGTTAATCTTCTCTATATACTCGGCGAGAAGAGAAAATCGTCAACCCTTTCTCCCCACCCCCACCCTGAAACCTGAAATGGGAATCCACTTCTTCCCAGCAGCGGACGTGTGATCACCGCCGTCCCTCCAACAGCCATAGTAAAGCCAGGTTTCTCTGGCAACTGATATCCATAGGCAGACACGTCACCCAGGAGGCGGGCTTATACCCTTCAGCCAATCACAATCGTCTTGTCTAAGTTTTAGAATGTTCCATAACCAAATGATTGGACGAGGCCGATACGTCACAACGTCACAACGATACTTCGCCGCAGTAAAGGGGGGGGGGGGTGCTAGCAACCTGCTTCTTCACGGTTAAGGATTGAAGCAAACCAGTCGCCATCCTCCTTAGTGTGGGCCCTGGCCAATGATACTCGTCCTCTTAGGTTCTTAGCCCGCCCTCCAAAAGCGCGACAGTCGGTGGGTCAGAAGTCTATAGGGCAGGGTGTTCACGTGGCCTATTTTCACGACCCAGAGTTCCCCAGAACAGGTTTTTTGTGTTTTTTTTTTCCTGCAGGGAGGCATTATGGGGGCTTTTTTCCCCATTGGGAAAGGAAGTGTCTACGTGGCCTACGGAAGCAGGATGGGCGGAAATGAGCTATGCTTCCCGCGAGTGGGGAAACGCGAGGTCAAATCTGGGGCCACACCTCCGAACCACTTGCGCAACTCTTGGGAGTGAAAAAAGGCAGAGTACGGGTTTTGATGTGTGTGTGAGTGGGGACGGTGGGTGCTGCGGGCGCGTGGTGGTGAGGCCAGTGTGAATGTGCGCGGGCGAGCTCGCCAGGCTTTGGGGATGGGGTGTGCGCGCCAACCCTCCTGGCGCTGAGGCGGTGGGTGTGCGCAGGCGCGCGCCGCTAACGTTGGGGCGGGTTTGTGTCCGGGAGCCAGGGCGTGCGTTTGTGCGTGCGCGTGCGTATGTGTAGGCGCTCATGCGCGCTCAATAGGCAGCGTTATGTACTTTTATTTTTGAAAATTGTTTTAAAGAAAAACATAATAATTAAGCCAAGGCGATCATACCAGAAATAATGGGCCTTTGGTAGAACTATTTCCATCTCCCCTATAATTTAATTTTAGAGCCTAAAAATGCACTTCTTCCCACATTCTTCTTTTGTGCCACAATCCTGTTCTAAACCATAGCTTTCCGATGGGTAAGAGCCAAATCCTCGCATTCACATCTTAGCAAGTCCAAGGAGCAGCTTCTTTCCTGTTCTCTAGTATCTTTCTCCTCCATCCCTGCTCCCTACCCCTCCCCTTCTTGCAAAGTTGCGTGCAATTATAGCACAAAATTTTCTGCTGAGAATATCTACTAGTATATAGACAGCCTTCCCCTCCACTATGGACTCCGAATTCCAATGGGGGCTGAAGCTTTCACTTTTTTGTCCTGATTTTCAAGCACAGTGCATTTCAGGCAACTACGCAGTCAGTTAATTTTCAAGATAGTTCTGTGAGGTTTATACCTCTTGAGTTTGCCACCAGATGCCGCCAAACCCCAGCAAAGGATTGGTTGTTTGGTACCTGGAATGATGGTGTGTGTGTGTGTGTGTGTGTGTGTTTGTGTAGTCATTTATTGCTAGGGAAAAATCAAACTAACTTCCATAAATAGTCCTACCAGGCAGGGGACTATGGCCCCTATATCCAAATGTTTTTCCTGGTTTCTTTTTTAAAAAATTTCTTTATTAATTAAGGTATTACATATGTGTCCTAATCCCCCCATTACCCTCTCTCCCCATCTGACCCATGCTTCTCTGTCTCTGGATCTGTTTTTGTTCATCAGGTTATGTTGGTCATTATATTCCATAAATGAGTGAGATCATGTGATATTTATCTTTCTCTGGCTGGTTTCTTCTTAAGAAAAGGAACACCGTTCCCCCTCCATCCTGTCTTCTTTTTTCTTTGCCTTTTTTGAGGGGGAGGGTTCACCCCAGGGACTGATGCTGATGAAAATTCTAACCCTTTCTGTGCACCTTTTCAAATACCCAATCCCCATCCACACTCCTCTCCCCACCAAATTGTTTGGTCAGTAAAGACATATAAGAACTTGGACCCTGGTATTGAAAACTGATCTTTTCCTCTTGAAAATTTGTGTTAGATATGAGTTTATACCCTATATTCTGTAGTGGTACTGCTAAACCTTATTATGTCTTTGGAGCCAGAGGTCTAATTTTAAACCCCATTGCACCACTTACTAGCTTTGAGGCCATGGGCAAATGGTTTCTGTTCTGTGATCCTTAGGTTGTTGCATGCTTTATATATTTTAGGTGCTGTGTCATATCCTTCATATGGATATTCTTTTTATTACTCACAAAATTCTTATTAGATGGGTACTAATACTTCACAATAAAACAGCAAAATTTATATCTCTTAGTTATCAGTCATATATGTGTGCATGTGCACGTATACACACACACACACACACACACACACACTCACTGGGGAGGGGCGCTGGATTTAGAACCGTGGTTCAGAAGTGTTTTCCAGACACCTCAGTAGTATTATCACCTTTCAGGAAGTTATAAGATTCAGATTCTTAGGCTCCACCTGAAACAAAATTCTAGGGGTAGAGTGTGGCTGTGTTCTAATGAATTTCTGGTGATTCTAATGCACACTGAAGTTAGAACCACTGCTTTGGAGGGCAGAGATGCAATGCTTATTTTGTATGCTCCACTAGAGGGTGCTATAGAATGTAAAGTAAAATAATAAATGATCTATATCTTTTATTGAGACACCTTGCATATTATCAGTCCTGTTACACAAGTTAAGAACTAATGTGTAGAGGTGTCAAATTATTTTCTCAGTGCAGTATGAGAACCAGGATATGAATTTTACCTGCTTCTAGAGCCCAAACCCTTGACAGTACTCTGTTGTTCAGCCATAATAGCTTGTCATTCTGGGTGTCAAAATACATTACAATACCCTTGTTCTCTGCTTTGGCTAATGTTGACTAGAGTGTCAATAACAGGGTAGGAAAGAAAACTAAATAAATGGAAATAGTTTGATGATTTCATACCCTTCCTCATATCCATTCTACAATAAGATATCACATAAAAGATCATAAGTGTTTCCCTTCTTGCTTTAATATTTCCCAAATTCTCTCTCTCTGCCCTGCATTTATTTTATTTTATTTTTAATTTCTTTATGGGTTAAGGTATTACAAATGTGCCCTCATCCCCCCATTAACCCCCAACCTTCCCCGCCCCACACATACACTCATGTTCTCATCCCCCTGTTGTCCATGTTCATTGGTTTGGCTTATGTGCATGCATACAAGTCCTTTGGTTGATCTCTTCCCCTTACCCCCACCCTCCCCTACTTTCCCTCTGGGGATTGATAGTCTGATCGCTGTTTCTCTGTTTTTGGATCTGTCCCTGTTCATCAGTCTATGTAGTTCTCTATATTCCATAAATGAGTGAGATCATGTGGTATTTATCTTTCTCTCAC